TTCTTTTCTTATAGTAAATACCCTGTATATAAATGATTGCAAATGGAATGTGAAAATTGAATAAAATATTTTACACGAAGAAAACTCGCAAAATGAAATGAGAAAAAAAAAAAAAAAATGTAGAGCGATATATCTATGTCCCCTACTCTCTCTCTCCCCCCCCCCCCACTGCAGTGCGGTCCCGGCGGATGTCTCATCGAATTGGCCCAGCAGCTGTTCATCATCATGGTTGGGAAGCAGATCGTCAGCAACGTCCAGGAATTCTTCGTTCCGTGAGTTGCCTTCTTGGGAAACGGCGGAGAAAAACGAGATGGTTTGGTGAAAGGAGTGCCAGTAATTGAGGGGCATTTCCCGACCCGAGGGGACAGCCAAACCGAAGCAACCCGTTTCTGTTTTTTTCCTGCAGCAAGCTGAAGGCTTGGCACCAGAAAAGGAAGCTGGCCAAGGTGCGAGGGGGGCAGATCTGCCAGGAGTCCAAACGGTGGGAGGAAGACTATGAACTAATTGAATGTGAAGGCCTCTTCGAAGAGTACCTGGAGATGGGTGAGTGGCGAAGGGAGAACAGGATTCAGCTCCTTTGAAACACAGAGGAGCAAAAGGAGTTTGGGGGATGGGGTCCTAGATTCAGCCCATCCCTTGGTCCAATAAGACTTGGAGATCTCTTCTACAAGTGGCTCTCCAAAGATCAAGAGCTGCATTGATTCAATGGTGGGCAGCAGACTTGTCCATCCTCCCAACTTCCAAAAGGTAACTCTAAAGTCTCAATTACCATATTTTTCAGAGAATAAGACGCTCTGAAATATAAGACGCACCTAGCTTTTGGGGAGGAAAACAAGGGAGAAAAAAATCTGCCTCTGCCTTCCAGCAATTTGCCTCCTTGCAGCAAGCAGCAAACAGCAAACAGCAAACAGTACAGATGATGCAAACTGTTTGTGGTGTTACATTTTCAGACTATACTTGTACAGATGCTGTTAAAATTGAACGTGGCTTTCTGGAAGTATACGTTATTCTCTGCTATTTAAAAGAAGACACAATAGCACTGGGCCTCTTCAGATCAAGCTTTTATTTTAAAAAGCTTCTTCGTTTTGTTAAGATGTCTAGAACAATAATAAAGTAGTCTTTAAGGAATAAGGAATAATTCGAACATTCTATAGGCATTTATAGTTATTTCATTTCATTTCATTTAATGGATTTATAGGCCGCCCAATCCCGGAGGACTGCGGGGGGGCTTATTGACTTATCTCCTTGCAGCAAACAGCAAACAGCCTGTTTCAGTTTAGCCTGATTAGCACAAGAAAAAAAAAATCTGCCTCTGCTTCCCAGCCATTTGCCTCCCATTTCACTTTCAGTTTCAGCAGGGCCTCCCAATGATCAGCTGTTTCAGGCTGCAGGGATTGCCATAGCCGATTGCTGCTTCTGCGAGCCCCATTTTCCTCTTTTGCTGCAAGGAAATAAATTAAGTGTGTTTAAGTGTTTATTATACTTGTATGCCGCCCTATTCCCGAGGGACTCAGGGCGGCTAACAAACAAGTGGGGAAGGGGGAAATACAAAAAACAAACAAGACAAAAAACAAGATACACAAAACAGATTAAAATTGTTGGGAGGCAGAGGCCAAAGGGTGGGGGATGGTGGGCAGGCAGGGCTACACTCAGTGTATAAGATGCATCCAAGTTTTCACCCTCTTTTTTTGAGGGGGGAGAAGTGCATCTTATACTCCAAAAAATACGGTATATTGGATGCTCCCACTTTCGTTAAACGTAAGATGTTTAGGATAACTGAATACCTCCAGTTCTCCTTTACCCTGAAAGTTTGGTCATCCAAACAGCCTTTGATTTTTCCGCTAGAATGACCACGCAGTGGTAAGGGAGTAAGGGCCACGCAAAGGAACATTGCGTTGGTCTTAAGAGGCACAAGCCTTGCTCCTCCAGTCATTCCGAGGATTGTTTAGGATTTGTCCAGCTCCCCAAACACGACAAACCCTCTGTATTTAAAGTAATGATTCCTTTATTAGGAGCGCCAGCAGACCCGGCAAAAGGTGTCTCTCTCACTGCAGGCGAACAAGTCTGTCTGGCCGGAAGATGAATAGTTGTCTGCCACATCTATTCATCCCCCCCCCCCCACGCCTGCCTTTTATCCCCACAGCTAGGGTGGGGCATAGAGCCGAGGTGGCGCAGTGGTTAGAGTGCTGTACTGCAGCCACTTCAGCTGACTGTTATCTGCAGTTCGGCTATTCAAATCTCATCGGCTCAGGGTTGACTCAGCCTTCCATCCTTCCGAGGTGGGTGAAATGAGGACCCAGACTGTGGGGGCGATATGCTGACTCTGTAAACCGCTTAGAGAGGGCTGAAAGCCCTATGAAGCGGTATATAAGTCTACTGCTATTGCTATTGCTATTGCTATTGGGGCTTCGCTAGCAGCGGTGGCTCTTCTGTTCCAAGGACCGGCCCACAGATTTCCACTGCTCTCCTCTCCTCTGCCTTCTGCACATCTGTGTGTCAGGAACTGGACCCAGCTGTTCCTCCTCTTCCTCATCAGCCACCTCCAGACCTGGGGACTGTTGACTCTCCATCTGAGGGTTGATGGATGGTCCAGGCTCCACCTCTGTCTTTCTCTCTCTCTGACTGCTCCATTCCCTCTTCCCCTTCAGAGCTCTCAGCTGCCCTGATGCTGACCCTGACTCTCACACTTCCTCCTCTGATTCGGTTGCTGTAGGGGCCAGCAACTGACTGGCCACGACAGGATTCTGTAAAATAGTGACACTGAACATGGCCTCTTCTTTCTTAGTGCTCCAGTTTGGCTTCATCACCATTTTTGTGGCTGCTTTCCCGCTGGCCCCTCTCTTCGCCCTGCTCAATAATTGGGTCGAAATCCGTCTGGATGCTCAGAAATTTGTCTGCGAGTACCGCCGACCGGTCGCTGAGCGTGCCCAGGACATCAGTGTTTGGTTCTTCCTCCTTGAGGTCTTGGCCCAAATCTCCGTCATTGTCAATGTGAGTCTGGAAGAAGATCCTCAAGCCATTCCTCACTGAGTGGTGGCTTCCAAGATCCTTTTTCCTGGGGGGACATGGAGGTCCTCACCTTCTCTGGAGCTAAGAGTTAAACAAGAGAAAACCTCCCCTTCCCGATGATGGTCACTCTTGCCTGTTTGCCCCCAGGCCTTTCTCATCGCCTTCACCTCGGACTTCCTGCCACGGCTCCTCTACCAATATGAGTATGACAGCCACCTCCACGGCTACGTGAACTTCACCCTGGCTTACTCACCACCCGCTTACATGCACGGCAACCATACCATGTGCAGGTGAGTGGAAGGGTCTCCATCGCCAGCAATCACGGTTAGGACTCCCCCCACTACCCCGCGATGCTGATCTACCGTGGCCCATTCACAGGTACAAAGCCTTCCGCGATGCTCACGGGAACTACACGCTCTTTTATTGGAAACTTCTGGCCATTCGCCTGGGCTTCATCATCGCCTTTGAGGTGAGTCCCAGGCATTTTTATGAACAGAATTTGCACAGAGAATTACGATGGTGAGTCCCTGAAAATAGGACCTATCCCAAAAATAAGCCCTAGCATGTTTTTTGCACGTACACCCAATATAAGCCCTAACCCCCAAAATAAGCCTTACTGTATTTTTTAGAGTATAAGATGCATCTTTCCCCCCCTAAAAGAGCATGGAAATGTTGGTGCGTCTTATACACCGGTGCGTCTTATAGTCTGAAAAATACGGTACTTAAGCGCTTACGCAGTCGCCTGACCATCCATTCTGTCTGGTTGCTTGCAGTGCCGCTGACACAAGGGGAGGGTGGGATGGAGCTGCTCCACATGCACACCTGCTTATGTCAGAGCTCCCACAGCCAACCCACCCACGCCATGACAACTGCCTTGCCTCACCCACTTCTTCCAGCACTGGCGCAGCACCACCGCAGGAGGCGGAATAAGGCCCTGGTCCCACGGCCACGAGGCAGTTGTAAGTGCATGGATGGTCCCAAGGCTGCATTGCTCAGCCTCGTGCAGTGCCTCGCTGGTGCCAGAAGAAATGGGCCGCCACCAGAACACAAGGCAGCTGTCAGGGTGTGGATGGCATGACTGTTGGGGGGCTGAGGTAAGCTGGTGTGGGGCATGTGGGGTAGCTCCACGCCCTTCTCACTGCGGTGGCACTCAAAAGAAATAAGAGATCCAAAAAAATAAGCCCTAGTAATTCGGTGCCCAAAAGAAAGTAAGCCTGGTTCATATTTTCGGGAAAACACGGTACGTGGGATTCAGCAGCTCTGGCTTATTGGGAGCAAACAAGGCCTGGCTCAAGTCAAATAAAAATTGTTTTTTTAAAAAAAACTGCTAGGTTGGCAGAAGCTGGGACAAGTCACGGGAGCTCACTCCGTTATGCGGCACTAGGGGTTTGAATCGCCAAACTGCCGACCTTTCTGATTGACAAGCTCAGCGCCTTAGCCAATGAGCCACCACTTAATTTCTCTCAAAAGCCCTCCCACGGCACCTGAAAATTATCCATTTGTTTACCATGATTTATTCGGTTGAATAATCTCTTAGAACCATCTCATTTTTATCCAAATAGAGTTGAAATTTGCTGGGCCTTAGCTGCATTTGCCAAGGCGAGGTCGTATTCAAATGTCAGGCCTGCCAATCAGGGTAAATATCGATTATCTGCTCTTCATGGAAAAAAAACACAGTGGCTAAGATTTCTGTACCCCAGAGCTGATTTAGGAACAGAAATTAGCTCCTGAAATCAGAGTTTTGGGCAGCCCTTTTCTTGCTGTCAAAATTTCATTTCTGAAAGCGAGAGACAGTGTGTGGTATTGGCTTAGGTGGTCGTAAGGGCTGATAATAACCCACGGTGGCGCAGTGGTGAGAGTGCAGTACTGCAGGCTCTTTCTGCTGACTGCCGGACGACTGCAATTTGGCAGTTCGAATCTCACCAGGCTCAGGATTGACTCAGCCTTCCACCCTTCCGAGGTGGGTCAAATGAGGACCCAGATTGTTGGGAGCAAGAGGCTGACTCTGTAAAACCGCTTAGAGAGGGCTGTGAAGCAATGTGAAGCAGAATATAAGCCTAAGTGATATTGCTATAATTCTGGGATGGGCGATTCCCTTGGGCCCTCCTCCTCCCTCCTTCTCTTTCCAGCATGTTGTCTTCTTCTGCTTGCGCCTGATTGATTGGCTGGTGCCAGACATCCCCGAATCCTTGGAAGTCAAGATCAAGAGGGAGCGTTACTTAGCCAAGCAGGCTCTGGCTGACAACCAGGAAGCATTGTTGACGACGGTGAGTGACGACTCTTCTCCCACCCCAGGTCAGTCCACGAGTGCTACACAAAGCACAAAGCACATGTGTATCCGTGTGTGTCTCTGTGTGTATTGCTCCGGTGCCAAGAGAAGGGTTCAGAAGAGGGAGAGGCAGGAGTGGATTCCTGCCAGTTCTGACCTCTTCTATAGAAGAGGTTCCACAAATCTACATTGCCGTTCGGAACCGGTTCCAGCTCCCTCCCTCCCCCTCCCATCCGCACATCATCAAGATGAAGAGCGAGAGGAGGAATTCTGGGAGTTGAAGTCCACAAGTCTTAAAGCTTTCAAGTTTGAACACCCCTGGGGTTTTTTTTTTCTAAAGGATTAGGGATGCAAGGGTCTTGTAACTTGACAGCTTTAAGACTT